CAAAAAATAGTTTAATTTCCTATTTGAAGTATGGTTCGACCATTTTGTTACTCCCTGTAACCGATTAGACTGGATGACGTAAAGTTAAAATAAAAAATAAAAAATCGGCAGAATGTTCCAAAGTACTGACTGATACTTGAAATAAACAAGAAAAACGGTAAATCGCATTAATTTTTTTCCATATACTATTTTTAAATAGTAACAAAATATACTCTGGTGCTTACAGCAAAGAGACTTATTCTCGTAGAATAAAATAACGGATTAAAACCGAACCTTCCACGATCGCATTAAACAGAAAAATATTCACGATCTTACTTGGTATATAGATAGCGAAAAACCAGTGGGACACCTCCATGACACATTTTTCGTATGATTCAACATTCAACTTGGCAACAGCATTTAATCCGTAACCTTAGGAATAAATACAGAGACTGTACCGCCCTCTCTTGGAATAATTATAGGCATTGGAAAATTCTAGAAAGGTTGTAATGTGGTGGAATGTTGGCATTGTCAATTTAGGTTTTAATGTTTTGTGTGAAAAGTTTTGTTCTGACGTGCTTTGCGAATTTTTCGTTTTTCGTACAAATCATTGTAAAAAAACGTGTTACAAGAGTGCGCCCGCTGAAAATTTAGGTACATATATCAGTACCATTTTGGGAAAATATAAAATTCGCACCCTTGATGTAAAAAGGTCACTTCTGCAAATTACAACTTGTCAGGAGAGTTTGAAGATTCTACGGAAGAAATACGTTATCATCATCATCATCATTTCCCACAACCTTCACCAGGTCGTCGATTCACCTTGTGTGTGGGCTGCACACGCTGCATTTTCCAGTACGCGGTCGCCACTCGAAAACTCTTTGGCCTATTCGGCTATCTATTCTGTGAGCAATGTGTCCCGCCCACTGCAACTAAGTTTAGCAATTCTTTGGGCTGTGTCGGTTACTCTGGTTCTTTTGCAGATATCCTCATTACTGATTCGATCTCGCCGTGAAACTCCGAGCATAGATCTCTCCATTGACCTTTCGGTGACCTTGAGCCTTCTTATGAGGCCAAAAGTGAGCCACCACATCTCATTGCAGTAAGTCATCACTTGCAACACACACTGGTCGAAGACTTTTGCCTTGATATACTGTGCTATTTTGGACAAGAAAATATGGCGTAACGTCCCGAACGCTGCTCAGCCGAGTCGAATTTGACGATCGACCTCTTTCTCGAAGTTGAATCTACCTAACTAGATACTTTGTCCCAGGTATAAATAATCTAATTTTTATTAAAACGTAGTTTATAGGAAAGAGACAAAACGCCTTTGAAGTCACGCTATACGAGACTGTGTTTACTGTGATCAAGGATAGACAGAAAATACAATATTTATGAATACCCGCATACAGATATACAAATGGGGAAGAAAAGTTTATAAAGTCCCACGAGCTGGTAAACTCAGAACTGTCACGTATAAGAAAGCCCAGGCAATCTATCAAATGTACTCTCAGCATTAATTAGGTGGTCCATCCACAGCTTTGAGATCCCTTGAGTTTCATAATCTAAAAAAACATTAGTAACAATGTAAAAGTAAACAAGATTTAAAAACGAAGGTTGTTGAAGGTAAGACTTTTTAACGTGCTTCTTATACTAGAAAGTCCGTACAAAACGGTCAGTTATCCTCTGTGGGTACAATCTTAGCACTCAGGGTTGAAATTTTAAACCACGCATTGGACTAAAAAATTTAGTTCCCAAATTTTTTTTTATAAGGAAATATTTTTTCTTTCTTTCTTTATTTTATTTTAGTTTTTTCACTAGGTACGATTAAAAGCTGGAGTATGGTTTGGATCATTTTGTTCCTCCCTATTAACTGTAACGTGAAAACTAAGAATAAAAATTATTGGCATCACGATTTTGGCAGAATAGTCCAAGGTATAATAACAGACCTCCAATACCTCAAATGCAAAAATGTCGTTGAAAAACCAAATACTAAGACACGATGCAAGCATATAGAAAAATTCAGGATGTCCGCTGGTTCGTTCCGTGGCTTAGTTGGTATAACGTCTGCCACGGTAAGCTAGAAGACGTAGGTTCGAATCCGGCCGGATCGAAGGAATTTTTTCTGAGTGTTCGATTTTTGTATTAATTATTATAACAAACTAGTGGAGAAATTTCACAAAAAATAATTGAATATCTATTCAATAGTGTTTCAAAACATGTTTTGCTAAGTGAACTCATTGAAAATTTAAAATATTTATGTTTAACAATGTTACCATGCAATGGATACTTAAATAAATTTTCAAATTTGACGACCTCGGTAGCCCAGTGGTAAAAACCGTGGGCGCTAGTTGAAGAGGTCACGGGTTCGATTCCCGGTAGTAGGTACATCTGTTTCCCCGGAGTAAATAAGCGGCTCTGGTACTCATAGCATAGGCAATTTCCTAATTTGAAACTAGGTTATTGGTACTGTCGTCTGGCAGTTTGTTACTATTTACGCGTTAATATTCGTGATCAAAAACAAAGCAGCAGTAGAGCTCCTTATGAAAGAGTTCGTCCAGGGAAGTACTGCCACCTTACCTCTTTCTGCCGCCAAGCAGTAATGTGAACAGGTTTTGAAGGGTGCTAGTGAAATTACAGGCACATAGAACTTGTGAACTTATGTCTCAGGGTGACGGGCACAGTGCGAGTGTCCCTTAAATCTTTGTGATTTAAGGCTCCGAGTGGCACTGCAACTGTTACAGACAGGCGTGTCGTTTTTTATGATACCTAGTAACGGAACGAACCAGTCGTGCACCTAGTGGTAAGCGGCACGCTTGTTCATAGCAGTTGCAGATAAGAAAAATAAATCCGTGTATGGATACGTTCGTACATGCAAATATATACAAATATATCGACTCTGGAAAGTAGGCTGGCGTCGATATGTATTTGTATTTTTTTTATTATACCAAGTGACGGAACGAACAAGGCACCTGGTGGTAAGCGACACGTCTGTCTGTAACAGTTGTAATGCCGCTCAGAGCTTTAAATCGCAAAGATCTGAGGAGCACTGCCACAGTGCCCGTTACCCTGAGACATAAGTTGACAAATCCCATTTGCCTGTAATTTCACCAGCACCTTTACCTTTCAAAACCAAAACGGAAGAAATGTATAAGGTACTTAGATATGTAAATTTGATAATGATAGGCAGCTAAGGAGTGAAACTGATATTTCCAATGGGTAAGATTGTGAACCAACGCATATCTATCGGAATATCTGAAGTAAACACCCAATATTATTATTTAACATGAGTAAATGGCTAACAGCAATCACTTTAACAATGTTTCTCATTAAACTAATGAATATTTAGGCAAACGAACAATTAGAGCAAATCAAGTTATCGTGCAAAATCCCAAAGTGTACGTGTTCAAACGACAATGTTAAATAGTTAATGTGAATGACAATACTTCGGGTGTGTAAAACATTTTTAACGAGTTTTTTTATTTTTAGCCGTTACTATCCCGCCACAGGGCAAAGGCCTACCTTTCCTTTCTCCAATCATCGCGGTTAAACAGGACAAAATCTCATATATAAGGATCCAGCTCGTCACGTCATCTCCTTCTGGGTCTTCCACGTCTTCGTTTTACGTTTGGTGGGATCCACTCTGTGGTCGTCTTTGCTCCCAGCTCGCTTGACATGCGTTTTACGTTTCTGCCTCAGTTCCATTTTAGGCTAGGGGCTTTATGATCAAAGTCAGCGACTTGTGCTTTATTGCGAGAGTAATGAGAACCTGTAGTGCGAACTTCTGATTAACAAAACACCGAGTTTGAGCACCGTAAGTAAAGACGGACAGGTATTAAATGGTGAACTCTCTGGATACTTACTAGTTAAGCTGGAATGTGTAGAATAGGGATAAGGTACAATAAGAATGGTCTTATAAATTAGGACTACGCACAAGGAAGGCTGCACTGAGAAATCTTATTACCTAATTACGTTCCTAGGGTTAGAATAAATTATAGGCAAAATGTATTTTTAAATAGAGCGTCTCCCTCATATAACTCCTTAGTTGAAAAATGTGGTGAGGTAGACTTGTTCAACACCAATACAAGTAAAGTAAAGCACTTACTCAGTGATATGTTTTTCACTTATATGTAGCTACTATAACTGCTTAACGTATTTAATGTCGTTATTTATTTATTATGTTTCTTTTTAAGTCGGCAACTTACTTTATAATTTGTTTCTATCACAGCAAATAATAATCTGTGGAACCTTTTAATTAGCCATCGGCATACAAGCACTAGTCTGTCAGGCGTGTATTATACTTACTATTGTATTCTTGTTACCTAGCTGTAAGTTTTCCAAAAATAATGAAAATAAAACAAAGCAGCAAACAGTAAATCAAAATTTCTTTCCAAAAGTCCTTTACATAGCTTAGTCTGTAGCTGATCATTGCCCGTCTTACACGGGAATTCGTTATCCTGGATCTAACTACGATGTCAATGTTGTTCAGACTATTTGTGAAGCCATTCTATTGAAAAGCCCGCTGTTCAGCAGAGGACCATGACGCTATAAGATTTTCTTTTTATTTATGATATGAACTTGACCTTTGAATTCCGTAACTAACTTACGTAGACAAAAATAATAAACTGCATAATCCATAGTACAGGTAGTATAATACATGCAATATTAATATAATTCATATGTTAAGATTATTTGAATATTTGTTTTCTAGATTAGTAAATAAAAAATAATAATGCAATTATAAATAATACTTTCCGATAATATTTCATATAATTTTACGTACTCCAACGTCTTCATATACAATATTTTAAATCTTATCAAGTTTATAAATACGAGATTTATTTTAAATTTACCAGTAACTATCAAAAAACAAATATAAGTTACAAAACATTCAAATAAATTTAAAAATTACACAATAATCTATTGTTCAAATACGGCGCGCAGGGTTGACGTTCAAGAACTCCTGCAATTTCGAGTTAAAGCATTAAACTTCACAGCGCAGTATCACTAAGTGAGCCATCATGGCTACGCGCGCACTTGTGCTGCTGCTCGTCGCAACCTGCGCGTACGCACGCGAATGCATCGAACTCACCCTCAACGACAAAACGTTGCTAACAGACAGTGTATTAAATGGAACAATTTTAAAAGTCGTATCTAAAAATGAAACGAACGACGATAGTGCAGTTGTTAATATTGTGGAGTTGTGGGACCGGTTTCCGAAGATTGTGGTACCCAGCAATGGGACCAGTGAGCAGTGCAGGAGAGATGCCCAGCTGTATTTGTACAGCTTAGAAAGAATGGAATTGTGGGCATTAAAGAGTATGTCATTTTATTTTGTTTATCGCATTCCATTCAATTAGGGGAATAGTTTGAAATGTAATTGTGAAAATATTTTAATGACTAACTTAAGTAATTGATATCGAATACTTACAAATGAAGACTTTTTAAAAACAATAATCATTTGATAATTATACTCCATATAACAATTTAATTGCAACTCGATAAGACGTGCGATCTTCCTCGTCTATCAATATAAACATTGTTCACTAATTATTTGTCTACCTTTTTATGTTTAAATATAACTCAATAATGAAAAATAATTGAGCTGTAGCTAAAGTTTTGAAGTAGTAAGTAAACCGAGAACACGTTTCCCTAAAAAATTTGCTTGATGCTAGTTAAGAAAGTTAGTCAAGAGATTGAAGTAAAACCACAAGTATAATTTTTCGATGGTAACAAATAACTACACAAAATTGTAAAGGGCTCCTCGGATTGCCACAGTACACATATGTTGCAGTTGAATACCAATTTTAGGTTACCTTTTCGATGAAATTACTGACACTTGGGACTTGCTAACTTATGCCTCAGAGTGACGGGCGCAGTGGCAATGCCCCTCAGATCTTTGTAATTTAAAGTTCTGAGTGGCACTGCAATTGTTATGAACTGGCGTGTCGCTTACCTAAAGGCGCAACTTGTCCGTCCCGTCACTTACTATATTAAAAAAAAAGCTCTGTACATTACAAAAGAAAATTGACTAACATATTATTGTAAAATAAACTCCACTAATATCAATTTTGCAAATATTTTATTATAATTATTATACAAGATCGAACACAAAGAAAAATTCATACGATCTGATAAGACTCGAATCTGCGTTGTACGCCAAGCTAAGACCACCAAACCAGACATCATTGTATTAACAATTAAAACATACTAGTGAAGTTATAAGTAATACAAAAAATTAATTAGTATCATGGTAAAACAACATGATGTTCAATAAAATTAATATTTTATTAATAGTAGTTATAAGTATGGATGGATTCATACAATAATCCCTTCGTTTCATTGTAACTTTTAATATGTTATCTTATATTTTTGCCATTGCATGCTGTGATGTTCCTTAAGTGTGTGTAGGAGCACTTACATTATAAGCTTAAATTTTTCATTATTTAATAAGTATTTTCTATGTAGAACACTAAATAAATAAACACACGGTCGGCATCATGAGGCGCCCCTATAAGATCTGCCATTAGCTGTTCCTATCAATCCATGAATACACGGATAATTTATCCATAGAAACCTACATTTATTGTCACCAATATAACTTCTATAGTACTAAGATTTTTTTGCACAGGGAGCAACGAAATTCACTCCTGGGGCACCTAAATAAGTGTTGGAAAATTACTATAGTGATAATTATAAACTTAGGCTAAAGAATAGGTACATTACAAAAAGAGTAAGGCAGGGTAAACTGTTCAGTTTAAAGCAAATAACTATTATGGAAAAAGATGTAGACGTTATTTATATATTATGAACTAAAATGGTTAAAGGCGTACATATTAAAGTAATATTTATATTATATTTGGCAAGTGCAATTAATACTAGATAATATTATAAAATACATAGTAAAGTAGGTATAATAAATAATTAAGTAAGAGTGCACATGTCGCCAACGAACTGTATAGCATTTGGCAACTTTTAGTAAATAAGTTACTTCTATATTTTTTGAAATAAATAAAAAAACAATACATTAAGTTGATAAGATAAGAACATCTGTGCATTTTTTCGATGCACTTTAACCGTCCTTGACCCGGTTGCAACGAGCCGGTTAAACGAGCCGATACAGCGAGGGCAGGCGAAAATTACTGGACTCTTTTGCGCTGTGGCTTTAATCGTCTTGTTGAAATAAATAAAGATTCAATCAAAACTACATAGAGTGTAATACTGAATGAAATAAGTCAACAATTTTGTTTTCTTATAACACATTTTGCGCTCCACTAGGTAATTTGACAATCTTTATTTGAGGAAGACAGCTCAATTTTCAAACATTCACACATCGAAAGTGTGTAGGGATCAAGCACGTTTTTGCCAATTAGGTATTGAAATTCTCGGTACAAAGTTCTAAAAAACCGACCTCAAAAGTCATTCGCCACCTCCTAGTTTGCCACCCTTAGAGGTGGAATGTTTCTTCAAATTTAAATGTTTTAAAAATACCACTTCTGAGGCAACCGCTTTCCAACAAAAAAAGAATCATCAAAATATGGTTCACAAAAAAAAAGTACAGTCGAATTGAGAACCTCCTCCTTTTTTGAAGTCGGTTATAAATCATATTATTAATTTATTTCTTAATACCAATGGTTTTTTTGGCCAATTTTATAATTTAAAAGAAAATATATAATTTAATAATTTTTTTAATTAATATTTTATTCAATAAAGCTGGACAGGACTAGCGAAATTTTCGCGGGGTGTTGCTCTCCCAACTGGGCTAACTTAACGAGTCAGCAGACCTTAGGAATTTCTCTGTACATTTGTTATAGATCTGTAGTTTTGGTTTTACCGGTTTTTTTTTGCCGTAGCGCCACCTGTGAGAAATCTATGAAAGTTATTAATTTCAATTTTACGCCATTTCCGGTGCGAAATTCCCTGTTAATTTTTTTTCGATAACATTTCCAAGTGTGTTACTGTGTCGCACAATTTAATTCCGCACCGCACGTTTCCATATCCGGAAAGGCAGACTGGTGCGGATTATGTTGTAGGTATATACCACTTACAAGCAGAAAGCGCTTGGCTTCGTCTTTCTTAATGTGCGATTAGTGAGACCTGGGCATTGCATATATAGTGGTGTGCCGTTGGCATAAAAAAATGTTCTGTAAACACGCAAATATACTACATAATGCAGTTCCAAGCTCTCGCCAATACCACTATACAACATTGGCTTTTTCAAGGCGAGAGTAAATCAAGTTCCCTCTTCCACTAAAGTGTCACTTACATGTGAGACTGTTCAATTGTTTTTTCCAAACTACCACACCTGTGCTATGAATTCCAGAACATCCAGACTAGAACCACAGAGAAAATCGTTCTTCAAATTTGTCCCACCGGTAATCGAACCCGGCACCGAGGAGGATCTACCACCCAATAGTACTAACCACTTGGCCATCGAGATTGTTAAAAAAGATGTTTAGGTATAAGTAATATGGCTAATAAGTAACTTGCAACTTATTATTTATAGTTAAACATCCCAATAGTTTCACCCAATAGTTTCACCTATAGTTTCACCTACCCAATAGTTTAGGTAGCCCAATAGTTTCACCTACCGACTCCCAGCAGAGGCCGTAGTAGGTTTGAATCCGGGCGCACACCTCTGAGTTTTACGGAATTAATGAGCGAAATTTCATTTGAAATTTACTATGACCTTTTCGGTGAAGGAAAACGTGATGAATCCTGCACGTCCAAGACGGTTCACAACCCGCATTGATACGAACGCCTGGGAGGAGACCCGTGCCCAGCAGTGAGACGAATAGAATGGGTTGATGATACTAAACTAAATTACCTTAATTTTCAATATATTGTTAAAAATTATTCAATGAACGTATTAAAATTATTCTATAAATACAAATGTTAAACAGTGAACCATCGTATAACCGATTAGTTAAGTTGTCTTAAAACTTAACATTTCATAATATGTGGTATATTTTCATATGAAAGACAGAGAAAACCAAATTAAAAAAAATCAATTGTTTTCTTATAATCAGTTTCCGATGACATCTATTGTCTACAATCTGCAAAACATCATGACACTAGTTCACAGAACTCGTGTTCAAATGAATGAACTAACCAATGATTTCGACACTAGTGTGCTCTGGATGCAGGCTTAACTAGTACAAACATGTAATAAGCAAGTAATAGCACAGTAGCAGATGCAATTTATAGACCTGATTTTACAAGCTGTATGCCCGACACAGACCTATATACAAAATCGGTTGTGCAGATTACGGATGCTCCAGAGCAAAACTTGGTAAGGGACAAATTGTTTTGAAAATCATTTAATGCTACTCCCATAGTAAGTACTCACCTAATCAAAGTTTGAATAATTTATTCCATAGGTAATATAAATTTACACTTGAAAACGTCACATTTAAGCTACTACTGCCTCCATGGCCGAACGGTTACCATGCCTGTCACGCAGAGGTCCCAGGTTCGATTCCCGGTCCGGGGGAAATATTTGTAAGGCATTTATTTCTCTCGTGAGTTGGGGTGTAGTTTGTGGTTGTCCTTAGTGCAGGGCTATGTTGAATGTGTGCGTTATTATTATTATTATGTTAAGATTTTTTCTTGTTTATAAATGTATATAAAATATGTATAATAATATAAGTTGTGATAATTTTTAACCGACTTCAAAAAAAGGAGAAGGTTCTCAATTCGGCTGTATGTTTCTTGTATGTATGTTACGCAATAACTCCGGCGTGTGAACCGATATGGATGATTCTTTTTTGGTTAGAAAGAGGCGGTGGTCACATTAAAATTCGAAGAAAATATTCCACCTCTAAGAGTGGCAAACTAGGGGATGAATGACTTTTGAGGTCGGTTTCTTTAGTACTCTGTACTGAGATTATTCCGACACCAAAATATTCGTTGATTGGAACCCTACCTAATACTACCTTTTTTACATTAAAGTTGAAGGGATTTATGTTTTTGGTTACTTACTAGGTTTTGTTATGGGGCAGCCGATTAGCTGTCTAAAGTCACCCTAACACATACACTCGTGTTCGAAATTGCATTCACAGTTAAAATTCTAATGCATATGTTCTTACACTGGCGGCGTTACAGTACATTTATGAAAAAATAATTAAATCAAAGAACACTAGTTTCTTTTTATAACACCAACTGACGGGACGAGCAAGTCGTACGTTGGTGGTAAGCGACACGCTGGACTGTAACGGTTACCTATTTTCCAGAAATAACGTTTGATCGAATTTTCATAACCTCGAAGGTAATTTTGAGAGGAAAATGTTTTTTCTTTTAAACCTAACTTAACCTAACCG